AAAAAAGAAAAAAAGAAAAAAAAAAAAGATGGCTTTCAACATAGGAAGGACCCAAACATATTAGGGGCTATAAGCTTAATTCAACATTTAGAATGGTGCTGAGGAAAAACAGAAGCTAGTGCAGATGATGGGGCAAAGAAGTAAAGCTCTTTTTGAAAAAAGAACTGGTACCCAAGTGGTTCAACTGCAAAGCATGGCTGTCAGGTTTAAGCTAACAAAGTGCATTAAGGAATCTGATCATGAGGTATGATTACTACTACCTTTAGCCAGGGATGTTACCAGCCTTTGTTAGATTGGTTGGGGGAGGTACAGGCACAGGCATTTCTGTTACCTGGATCCCCCAAACACAACTGGGAACCATAAATGCCCACAAGATGTTAAGGGACTAAGGGCAGAATGACTCTAATCAAAGGGAATAAACTGTTCTTGCTTGCAGTTGCTTCCCAGAGACTCTAGCAAAACCTCAGTTTAAACTGAGTTATTTGATTTTTGATAAATCAACAGTTTTCAAAGGACATCCTTGACCACCTCTAATTGCAGGTATTAAGAATGCAAACTAATAATGGTCTGGACTAACCATACTCTTCATGAGCAGGAACTGTTCAAGAATTCAGAAATGCTAGTGGAGGCAAAACACCTTTTTATACTTCTAGCATAGCCCTAGCATGCAATTTTAAAGTCTTTATCCCATTGCACTTAAACTGGGCACAAGACCTCTCCCAATGTTGTTCCAGCCATTTCCTCTCCCAAACCTTTTTGTTATTTATTCCCACAATTTGTTTGATTCTCATTAGTCACCTTCTAAAAACCACCAAGAAAACCAATTCATATTTGGGAGATGCATAATGACAGCAGCCAATTAAGTTACTATATCAAGGCACCTAATGAAATAATTGTAATTATTAAAAGTTATCATATGTTAAAACACAACAGCACCACGACTGTCACAACACATTAACAGACTCCACCACATTCTCTTAAAAAAAACTAGGTGACTGTGGCATTGATGCCTACCCAGTCAGATGGGTGGCAAATTGGCTCAATGGTCACACCCAGAGAGTGGTGATGGATGGGGCATTTTCAGCCTGGAGGGATGTGGGCAGTAGAGTCCCCCACGGCTCAGTCCTGGGGCCTGCGCTATTCAACATCTTTATTGGCGATCTAGAGGCGGGTGTGGAAAGCACGCTGTCCAAATTCGCTGACAACACCAAGTTGTAGGGCAAGGTGGAGGGGAGGGAATGAATCCAGCTAGGTCTAGACAGGTTACAGAGGTGGGCGGATGAGAACAGGACGGAGCTCAACACAGACAAATGCAGGGTGCTGCATCTAGGGAGAAGAAACCTGGCAACATACCTACAGGCTGGGGAAGTCCCTTGTCAACACAGTGGCAGAAAGGGATCTTGGAGTCATTGTGGACTCCAGGATGAACATGACCCGCCAATGTGAGGAAGGGGTCAGCAAGGCTACTCACACCTTGTTGTGCATCTACAGACGTATATCACGAGAGGGTCCAGGGAGGTGATCCTCCCCCTCTATGCAACACTGGTCAGGCCGCAGTTGGAGTACTGCAGCCAGTTCTGGGTGCCGCACTTCAAGAGGGATGTGGCTAGCATTGAGAGCGTCCACAGGAGGGCCACTCACATGGTCAAGGGGCAGCGGGGCAGGCCCTACAAGGAGAGGCTTAAGGGCCTGAACCTATTCAGCTTCCACAAGAGAAGGCTGAGAGGGGATCTGGTGGCTGTTTACAAATTCACCAGGGGGGACAAGCGAGAATTGGGGGAGTAACTCACCCAGGGTTACTAGGAATAACGGCCACAAATTGTAAGAGAGAAGGTTCAGGCTGGACATCAGGAGACATTACTTTACAGTTAGGGCTGCCAGGCTCTGGAATGGGTTCCCAAGGGAGGTGGTGCTCTCTCCTACCTTGGGGGTCTTCAACATGAGGCTGGACAGATATTTGGCTGGGGTGATATGATCCTGGCACCCATTCCTGCCCAGGGCAGGGGATCGGACCTGATGACCTGTTTAGGTCCCTTCCGACCCTAAGTACTATGACTGGGAGTGCAGGTTACCTGCAAGTACCAAAAAGATCAAGAGGTGAACAACAAAGCAATGCAAAACTCTGGAACTCTTGGTTCAGAGATCATACCTTTTATTAGACCAACTAAGCAAGAGGAGAACAGTATAATTCATAAAAAACCCACCATGATGCACTTCATTCAGTCTTGGAGATAAAAATATTTTCTGTCCAATCATATCATTTAAATAATTATTATGAAAGAAGTAAGACTTACTACAAAGCTACTATTACTCATGAGGCATAAGACTTTTTCTATGGCTCGTGGGTAAAAAAAAATAAAAAAAAAAAATCATTAATTCTACAGTCATCATGTCACCACATATTCCCCAGCTTCCATCAGACATTTATTCTGACCTGGTCCTTCACACAGCTGGGCTGGTGAAGCAGTTTTTAATAACCACATATTTGGACAGAGACAGTTAACTCAATTAACCACTCATATCTTCTGCCAGAGGAAGCCATAATGTAATTCTGCATTTTAAAGACATACCCAAGTAACATTTGGTGTCATTTGAATGTTACTAATTGCATCCAACTGTATGTAAAACGTGAGTGAAATAGACTTCAATTATCCTTCAGGTCTTATGAGTAAATTGTACCAAATATTTGAAACTCTGCAGACCTTTGTTGTCGTATTTCCTGAAGGAGGAAGTCATTGTAAAGGCAAAATCAAGTGTTCAGAAATACTAAACTAAGAGCAAGGAATCTTACAAATTACATACATAACTTGGTAAGACAGGTCACAGCATGACAGAAGTGGGATGATAAAACTAGCTAGCAACAAAAGACTTTTCAAACTAGACTTGCCTCTGGTTAAAGTAACTATGAAAACTCAACATCTCAACATAGCTGAAATTTACTGCAAATCTGATCAAATCATAGTTCAATTGCAGTAGGTATATGGATCTGAATGATCTGGATGGAGCAGGCCTGATCACTTCAAAGTTTAGTTAATAGAGCAGAAGTTTCACTAATATGGAAGTCACCCTGATCTACTCTGAGACTCGGGTAAGAGCAGAGATCATTTCATATGGGGAGAGGAAGAGTGCAAGGAACAAAAAACAGAGCTGCCATGAGAACAACCAGCAGGTCTGTAAAACAGGACTAGACGCATTGGCCAACAACACCTCCAAACCGATACAGAACTAGGTACGC